AAACCCTAAACCTCAACCAATAATCAACACTGCTTTCAGCTGAGGCCGAGGCCCCGCAAAATAGCTCAGCTTCAGCAACTTGGCCCGCGGCCCGAAGCTCAGCACTCGCGTGACATCGATAAGGCTGGTTCTAAGCAGGCTTGCCCGTCTCGGGACGGATTTCAGCTACTGTACCAGTACTTAACGTTTGGTAGGCCTTCCAGCGAAGCATCCTAAATGGCAAGGCAGGCCACAAGGCGAGACAAGCCAAGCATCAAGCCCACGTGATGGCTATGCCATGGGCTTCATAGACCACGAGGCCGTGAGAACCAGGGGCATGGTCCTGCCGTGAATGGCTGGCTACCTTAACCTACCAAAACCTACNNTGTAGGGTCCCTACAAATTCCATATTAGGGTTTATAATAAGAACCTACAAACAAGTAGGTTTTGGTAGGTTAAGGTGCACTAGCATCATCTAGCATCGCTAGCATGCGATCCTGGCCTATTGCCGCATTATCCCGTCAACTGTGTGGGTGCAGCATGATTTTAGCTGTCTCAGTGCACTAAGAGAATCTAAAAGAATCAGCGACTGTAGCTTTAGTCTGTATTTGGACTTCGTGAACCTGTTTGCGGGCTTTCTTCAACCGTTTCAGGTCGGAAACTCCCCAGCCGCCCCTGTGCCAATAGCGAGACCGGAGGCACGCCAGCATAACGGCTCGTGCGTGGCAGGCCACTCCTCGTGAGGCTTAATTTCATGTTTTGTGCGGTAGCAATACTATCGAACAGCTGACACGCAGGCAACCTTTCACTGCACGCGCCTACACGACATATTTTGCTTCTCGAACATGCAAGGTCGGAAGCTCGCCGAATGCTGCAACGCCACCAGCTGCAGCTCCTGCACCACAGGCCCTTGGTGTAAACGAAGCTTTCGGCCACACGTACGTTTGCACAGCCTGCAAAATCTGGATTGTCCAGCCCAGTGTGTAGAGTCGCAGAGTTGAGTTTGCTAATCGAATGTGCAACTTGCGTGCACGTTTGAGTTGTTTGAGTTGGGGCCTAGGATTGAAGGTGGACGCTTGGTAACTGCAAGGGAACAGGACTTCGGACTTTTACATTTTGATCAAGTCTGCCAAACATATGTTCCACCATCGGCTCGGACTCATGATGCAACTGCCGCTCGACAGACGACGAACTAGTTTTCCATTTTCCAGGTGTCCGCAGCCAGGAACAGAATCCGAAGCCTGTCCTAGCTTGCCGGCAAACTTCGTGCAGTCCTGACACGCCCGACGCTCGAGGACGAGAGCAGGCAGACTGTTCCAGAGCCGTCAAGTTCAGAGCCGGCACGACAGCCCAGCAAAACCTCAGCCCCTGGTGCTGGATCGTTGAGCTCAAGACGTGGCAGCCAGTCCGCAAACTCACGAAGCCCAAGTGGCTTTACCGGATGTACGTGAGTTGTTTTCCCCAGCATCAGAGCACTAGAATGGTACGAACGCCTTAAACCCTTCAACTTCTGGATCCGTGGACCTGCCTTGGGTTTTGAGGTCCCGAGCTCGGAAGCTCTGGCACTTTCAGAGCCAACAGCCCGGAACCTGGCATCCTCGCAGTGGCAGAACATCGAGCACCTGGCAGACCAAAGCCCCGACGGACTTTCCTTTGCTGTAATTTTCTATAGAATGCGAGCTTGTACTATAACATAGTAGAATAGACTGAAATCAGTATTTGCTTATAATACATATACTGAAGCAGAGGCTAGACGTCTTGAGTTGCAGGACAGAGTACCAAACAGAGGGAGGGCAGTGCGAGAAACAATTCAGGTTTGGTGAATCCCCCCCTGGCTGCCCATAAAGGGGACCCCACTATTTAACCCTATACTACCCCTTAAAGGACCCCATGCTGAGGGTTCCGGCTTTGGTGGAACAGTGTCGGATCAGGCTGAGGAAGCAGAGCGGAAATAGTGATGAGGGTTCCGGTTCGGTTCCAGAGTACATGTGGTTCAGGGATGCTGGTGCTTTCCGACAGGGCTACACGAGGAGCTCTGCTGGTCTGCAGTTCCTGGCATGAAGACCTTGAGGGCGGCTGAACAAAATGCTTGTGAGCCCTCAACCGCTAAGACGGAGCTGATAGCGAGAAGAGCTGGTGGGTTAACCTAGCCAGTGGGACCGCTACCTGCTCGGACTCCCAACCAGTCCCACTGCCCGGGTTCACCAACACCCCTTTCCGACATAGCAGAAGATTTCAATACATGATCTCTTTGGGCTGTATTATACATGTTAGTTATCACGGGCGTTTTCGCAACTACAATCATCATTAGTCTTATCGTTCATTGTATGACTCGAGATTCTCCCGAGGTCGCCATTGTAAGCCAGCCAGCTCCTGCGCCGCCACTCGTTCCACCGGCAGTGGGACACCCAGATCCCTTAACCCGAAGAAGCCTAGCCGTGAGCGAGGTTGGGCTTCCGTTTTGGTTGCACGGAGTTTATTATATATAATATAAGACTTATATAAGACTTCTAAGAGTTTGAAGATGTCGGAAAAGCACAGCATTGGTTTGTCCGAGGCTGAGTGCTATTCAGACTGTTTCGACGGGGCAGTGCAGGTGTCCCGAGGCATCGACCTGTTTCGTGTAGACAACTCCGCAGTAAGTCAGGCTGCCAGCTCCTCCGACGTCCCACAGGCAGCACCAGCATTCCCAGCCGGGGACTTACGGGCATGCTGCCGCAGAGCGGGGTCGGGTGAGGCATGTGTGGGGGCTGCAGCGCTTCTTTCGGGGCTGTGGATAAGGACGCTTCAGGACTGGGCAAAGCCAAGGTTTGCGTAGATTATTGTGAAGTTGTAATTTTTCCATTTCCTCTCTTATAAGTACGGTTAGTCTTCCTACTATGAGTGTTATCTGTTTTAGTTTTAGCATTCGCATGTAGAATTAGTTCTGGTATTGGTAGTCGTGTTTGTATTAGCATCAACTTTTGCATGTGTAGTCGTATTCGAGTTCGTACTGGTAGTATTAGCATATTAGAGTAAGTTTAGTATCAGCGACAGTATTAGTAGTTGTAGTTTTGGCATTGGTATTTGCATTGGTATTAGCAGTAGTATTCGTATTATCTTTATATTTTGGTACTATAGTTCGTTTAGTGTTAGTACTTTCCCTCTCGCATGTAGTGCTAGTATTAGTGTTAGGGTTCGGATTAGGATTAGTAGTATTGGTATTGGCATTGGTATTTGTGCTAGTGCTTGCATGAGCATTCTCACGGTTTTTCTTGTTATCATGAGTGGGATTTTTTTGCCATTTCTGACCTCAGGATATCTTCGTAGGATGCTGAGGAGCAAGTACCGTGCCAAAGTCATGATTCGGTGCCAGGATTGAGCGGTCGGTTCTACTCTAGACAAGACTAGAAATCGAACGGCAGATTCGTAGGGGGCTAGATTCCAGATCCAAGGAGAAGACGGAGAAGCCGGGGCCCACGACGGCAGGAAGCCTAATCTGACAAGTCAATTAGTAACCTTAAAATAACCCGAATAGGAACCCTTCAGCACGAAAAATTTATGGGATTTGCAGGCAATGCTGCTCTTGTCTTCGGCTGCTACGGGGAAGTGGCACGCACGGATATCCAGAGTATGATCTGATGTACGTCCCTCACTAATAACTAAACCCCTCTCCTGCAGTAATTAAGGACTATCTTAGAGATCCCAGCGCCAGGCACCACCAGGCTCCCCGAGAAAGGGTGCTATGGACCAGGGAGGGGGTCTGCATACGTCCTTACGCATACGTGAGCTTTGAACCAGTTCTTCAAAGCAGCTTGGCATTTCCAGTTTCCTGCCCGAGACGATAATGTATCATAGGTGTCCCTGCAAAGCCAGCTGCCCCAAATTCCAAGTGATTTGTCGCTCCTGAAGTTCTGGGCAAGGACGAATTCGTCCGAGATGAAGAAGATGCCTCGCAACACAGCCCTTTATACATCTGGCGCGGGAAAAGTGCCTAGTCCCGAATGCTACAGAGGGGTGTTTTCCGAACACACAAAAACGTGATCTTGCTAAGCCTGCGGACTACAGCGAAACTTGTGCTCCGTGGTCCGCACGTTTTGGCGCAGAGCCGAACTGAGCCTCTCCAGCGAACCCTTACACCAAATCATAGTAGTAATGAGAGAAAAATGAGAAAAAGTCGTCATCATCATCATCACCATCATCACCAGATGCTCATAATATTAGTGATGATACTGGCAACAAGAACGAAAAGAAGAACATGAAAGTCAACAATGACAGCAACGAATACATGGTATCAGTGATAGTATTCCTGATAATGGTACTGATGATAATAATTTTGCTACTCATAATAATACCAATAATAATTACGATAACAATAATAATGATATCTGAACTTTGGCTCAGGCCCTGGCACCATTTCGCCTTCCTGGGCAAGAGTGCAGCTCTCGGAATCAGAGTTCACGCCCGGCCTTCGAAAGTGAAAACTTGTAGCTCTAAGGTTCAGGGGTTTAGGATTTAGGCTTTTGCAGTCCTTGCTCAAAAAAAGGGTTTAGGCTTTATTTAGGGTATATGGGGTTTAAGTATAAAGCAAGAAATGCTGCCTTAGACTTGCAGTGAGAAGGAACGCATCATCCTAGATGAGGCCGATGCCTCTGTGTGTCAGCTTGGAGCCATGGTGTAATTTTCTGGAGAATTGATTCAAATCCGGGTGATTTAGGGCTTAGGGTTTAGGGTTTAGGGTTTAGGGCTGACAGTGGCAAGGTCGGAGGTGTGAAGCAGTGAAGCCAGCAGCTTGAAGAGAGGTCAAGAGCATGCGAACTCAGACCGGTCAGACCATCCATGAGTCCACGAGACTTCTTAGTTTGCTCGACAGTTGGGGCACATGGTGGCATCACCTTCCAACCTAAATGTGATCGGTGCAATCCCGGCGACGACTATATACTCCCTCTGTAAAAATACCACAGTATACCCCAAGACGCAAAATCACAATTCAATTATAAAAGGCCCAAGAGGTTTAGGATCCAAGTAAACGGGTGATGATGATGTAGAGCAGAGCAGATGGCCTGTTGTTTGCATGCCCTCGTTTCTACATAATGTGGTCTCTATGTCAAGCTTCAGGGTTGACCCGGCAGCTACCTCAGGCAATCACAAAGCACTCTGCACTTCTTGTGCTTCTAGTGTCGCACAAATTGGGACTGTTGACTTGGCAGCCGGAGTCAACGCACCGACTGGCGAATCTGCAATTAAAAGTCTGGTTCTGAAGCGCCTCTTCTTGCGAAGTTAGGTTGCCTCGGTCGACGGACGAGCGGTGCCACGAAGGCGGTGGATTGCCTGTCGATATCCGGCACGTCTATGTAACTGGGGTCTCAGCAAGTGCTGGGGGGTGAGAGGGTATGTACGGTTCTGGAAATCCAGAAAAGGATTTAATGCATGTGGGTTACGGAGGTATCGTGGGCATCGACCTCATGCATTGGGAGGTTTCCAGATTCGCGCTTTACGAGTACAGTGCTGCGGCCTAGAGGCCTAGGGCCTAGAGGTGTTAGCCAAACGATCTATCTGCTCAGGTGTTAACCCCTTGCCTGAAGGACACAGCATCAGGGGAATGCAGTCGCCACATGCTTGCTAGGCTGCAGATTGTGGAATGGTCATGTTCTGGCTTGTCGCTCGAAAATCAGTGTTGCGGTTCGGGCGCCGACAGCCAACAGCCATTTGGCTCGCGGATAGTACCGCTGCTGCCGCTGCACATCGTGCCACCCGCTGGAAGATGGGGATTGACATCACCGCCGGTGGCCGACAGAAGGCACATCGAAGTTGCTGCTTGCGTTTGTTAGTGGGTCATGTTCGATCGTCGATTCTTCGCTCGTGCATCTCCGTCGAGGGATGTCGATGTTTCACGGGTGCAAGAGTGGCCTTTATGAACTTGGATACTAGATCGAGAAATAAGAAGCGTAGAAGTTCATGAACCAGCAGATCAGTAATCTACTCATTATTGCCGACAAAATCTGCTGCGCTTCCTTTGGTTGCATTCCTCCACGGGTGAAGCCCTCCAGAGCCAAATAAGGCCCTGACGGATATGATCTGAAACCTGAGCCCGAACACATCGGATGGTCCTGCAATTCGGCGAGCAATACACATGTCTGTAACACTTCTGGAACTATATTGCGAGTGCTAAAACGAACTAGCACTACCTTCATGCAGTCCAAACGTAGTGCGATGCTATGCATAATACACTCACACAACCCCAAGCCCAATGCTCTGAGTAGCTCAAAGCCTAAGTTTCTGTTGTTTCCGATGTTAACGCCATCTGGGGGGGTTTCCCAAAATAGGGGACCCTAAGATAGTAACCTAAATAGCTTAGTTCTCCAATACCCAACCTTTAAACTTTTTGGTTTCTTATAAATTAGTAGTAACCTGAAAGTTTAACCTTGTATTTCCCTGGCTTACTGGGGAAGTAAGATAGTAGGATCCTTGCCATAAGGACACCAAATTAGGATACCACTTATTTTCGGAAACTCCAATCTGTTTGGGAGGTGAAGAAGCGCGAGGTCAAGTCGGAGAACCCGTACCTGCTGTGACTGGGATCAAACGGAGCCTCATGCGACGCAGGAACCCAGTTGAGAAACCCGTCGTTCTAGCCATGGGGCTTCTAGGTAGAACCGCCAGAAGAGCCAGGGCTTCTCCCAGGTTCCTTCATGTGTTTGTGGAGTCGGAGATATTGCATCTGGGAGCCCAACCCTAAACCCTAAACCCTAAACCCTAAACCTCCAGCAGGGTGTTCCGGGTTTGAAGGAGCTCGCGGGGCACATGTCACTGACCGAGTCTTGAAGGTCGAAAGCCAGACCCAGCATCCAATAGCGAAGCCGTTCCGTTCGAGGCCTTCTGAACTCAATTTCTGAGCGTCTGTGCTGAGAACTCCTGAGGCTCCTCTGCAAACTCTACAAGTTCCTGGCACGTCGCACAGACTCGAAGTTCAACAAGGTGCTTGGCCCGCTCGTGTTGGCAGAGTTTTATCGCGCCTGTCAAGTCCCGCCGCCTTCACGTAATTTTGTGCGTCGGCAGAGGTTTCTGTAGCTAGAGTCGGCGCCTCGGACGAAATCCTTTGGGAACAAGCTTGCGATTGAAGGGACCGCGCATTCAGGTCGTGGTAAGTTGTTCGCACCTGTACAGTAGGCGATGGTTTGTAGCTGCACAAGCGGTAGCATGAGTGGTCTCAGACCCATGATGATGCATGGCATCAGAAATTGTAAGCCAACTCAACAGACCCTCAATGTCAATAGAGCAAACTTTCGTAAAATGGAAAATCATCTGAACATGCTCCTCTTTAAAGGGTCAGTGGACACACCCCGGACTACCTAGCTGCTGACTTGGATGTTCGCACTTGCAGTGCCAGTCTGCAGCAGCACGGGCGGCATAATTCGGCCGGGCGAGGCTTGATAGACGGGCTGGTCTATCCGGTTCTAGCGTTGAAGTTGGTCACAGATCAGAAGCTGCCAACTCAGGCCTCAAATCTTCCTGCGGGGTCTAACGAGCTTAGCCGCCCGACTCGGAAGGTCATCTGCAAGCGCTTGAACATGCCTCTTGGTGAACACCAGTCCCTACTGCAAGATTGGGCAAATAAGTTCCCACATCTTCGTGCTAGAACGGAGCAGAAACTAATTGCTTGGAAGCGACACATCTGGGAAGTACTGTGTGCGTCCCATGCCTTGCTGAGAGAGAGAGAGAGAGAGAGAGAGAGCGAGAGGGAGAGTGTATCATAGTGACATATGCCACACCCGAGAATCGAGACCCCGTGACTTTTCACGTCCCCTCAAAGCCCCATGACATATGGGGGGCCACTTGGCGGGGGACCTTAACAGTCCCCCATGCCCAATGAAAGAAAGGGAGAGAGAGAGAGAGAGTGTGTGTGTGTGTGTGTGCGTATATGTATGTATGTGTGCTCCAATCTGTTCGTTCTCAGGATCCCAGAGGCCGAGACTGCTTTCAAAGCGCGAAGCCCTGGATGCCGAAGCTCAGGTCTGGCAGGAATCGCCCTCCGCTCTCACTCTCCAAGCTGATCAAGTTCATGGGCGGCAAGGACTGCGCGTTAGCAGCCGAATGTCGGCTCAAGGATGACGTGTCGGCACCCGTGGTTCACGTTGTCCATGGAGCAAGAGGCATCTGCCAGGGCATCTGGTGCGGGCTGCTTCAAACGCTGTTGCCGACCGTTTAGGGCCGGCTTTATCGAAACTGCCTGGCCAGGAGGGCAAGATCGCTGTGGTTGTAGGCAGCGTGACGGATGACAAGCGCGTGTATGAGGCCCGGGTGCAGGGATGGGGGCCCTGTGAGCCCTTTTTAAGACTCAGCGGTCTTGTTATCTTGGCGTTGGCCGCCGGTTCGAGATTGAAAACGTGTCCAGGCGGATCAAGGTGACTTCAGAACACAACGCATGAAGAGTAAGCTACAAGTTCGCGTTGTCTAGGGCAATCGGGCCCTTGCCCATGCTGTTCGGAGTCGAGTTCCCTTCAGCAATCCATCCTCCGCTTCTAATTGTGCTCCAAATAGCCAGTCATTGCGAACAGCAACGATGGCAAACCTTGAGTTGCCCTAGCTCCGACATTCTCAACCTAGCAAGCCTATATAACTGATGCATCCAATCTTCAATGACGCGTCAGGGTTTCTTTCTGCGCATCCATGCAGCATGCTCTGAAGCCTAGGCCCTAAGCCCTACACCCAAAACCTGATAGGTAAGTCGGGCAGCCTCGCGCCATCATGTGCCGAAAGGTTCCCGAGCTGAAGGTTTGCGCTCTCCGCTTCACGGAGACTTGGGCCCTGCAATGGTAATGCAAGTATATAGGGTTCAGGGTTTAAGGCTTAGGGTTTAGGGTTGAGGGTTTAGGGTTTAGTATATAATGAGTCGTAGTTGGGTAGCATTCTCGTGTATTTTCCTTGAGGTTCCTTCATATATCGATAGTACTGTTGAATTATAGGGGGCTTCGAGATGGGAGTTTGAGAAAATGGGAGACCCTAATATAGAACCAAAAATCTGGGCCTGAGGTCTGTACAAACCCTTGTGCCCCGCCTAAAACCAGTTTAGAATCTACCCTTGCAATTAGACCCCTAATGAATAAATCCTAAACCCCCGGCTAGGGAAGTAAGTAGACTGTTAATGTTTGGCAGTCAACTGACTGCTTCCGCGGAACTCGTACCCTCGCCTAGGCTTGTCCGAGTGTGAGTGCTGAAACCCCCTCTAAACCCTAAACCCCTAAGCCCCTAAACCCCAAAACCTTCCAAGGTCATCATGGAACGACTCCGGGCTAAGGCCCCTGCCTACCGAGGAAACCAACTGGCCTGTCGCCCTAAGGTTCAGGTCGTGGACGGCATTCTAGCTGCGAAAACCACGATGTCTCTTATCCGCCAGACTACGAGTGCTCCCGCTAAGGTAGCGAAGTTGGACATCAAAGCAGCGTTTGATAGTATCTCCCATCACGCAGTTTATCGCTGGTTGATGACTTGTGATTGCTGCTGGGAGGCGGAGCAAATGATGCACCTCTGTTTCGGTACGCAGGTCTCTGTCAGTATAGGAGGCGAGGAATGCATCCTCCCCATGCAGCGAGGTATCATGCAGGGCTCGGCATTTAGTGCTGACGTGTTCAGTAGGACGGTGGATTGGTACCTGGGGGGGCTCATGCCCCACCTTGATGCCATTGAACCGGGTTGGGAGAGTTGCGTGGCTGACCTACCTCATTATCTGCTTTACGCCGACGACATAGTGGTGTTCGCGCAAACTGAGGTGGGCCTGCAGGCCAAGCTTGCTGTTTTGTTGGGCACACTGGACTCGATTGGCCTCTCTGTTAACCCTGCCAAGTGCAGAGTGCTGCACGACCCCGACGGGTCGTGCCCAGGGATCTGGCTACCGCGCAGAGCCCTACCACTCCAAGGTGAGGAGAGCCTGTTATTCCTGGGCGTGCCACTTGGCCATAAAACCTCCACACAACAAGTCATGACGCACTTGATGCGTAAGGCTAGCAACACCTTTTACGCTTTCAAGCGCATACTTGATGGCCGCTCCTCCACACTCATGCTGAAGTTTCGCCTTTTTGATACGTACGTAACTTCACGCTGGCTGTGGGCCGCGCCAACACTCTTTCCGGATGTGCGCACACTTCGCAGCATCGAAAGGAGTAAAAACACGTATACCTGTTGTCCATCTGCCGTGTCGCGACGGACGCGCTGCTGCCTTGGGTCGACAATGTCGTAAGTCGTCGTCGTGCGGTTAAGCTCACCTGCAAATTGGCTTCTGGCCCGGATTGGCGGAGAGCTTGGCTACAGAGAGTGTGGAA